TTTTTTTTTTTAATAATTTATTTATTTATTTTTTCCCCCAAAGCCCCAGCAGATAGTTGTATGTCATAGTTGCACATCCTTCTAGCTGCTGCACGTGGGACGCCGCCTCAGCGTGTCCGGAGAAGCGGTATGTCGGTGCGTGCCCGGGATCCGAACCCCGGGCCGCCAGCAGCAGAGCGCGCGCACTTAACCGCCAAGCCACCGGGCCGGCCCCGACAGCTACTTCTTATTAAAAGGAACTTTATTTTAAATTATTTTGAAATGAACTCAAAATACTGATGCTTTATTTTTTGTTATTTTTGAGTAAATGAAGATTTTTACATATTACATTTTATTTAAATGAAGTATATCTTTGTTCTTTTTCATTCTGAAGTCTGTAACATTAACAACAGCTACCGTTATACTGATGACTTCCTCTTTGTCAGGCCTTAAGCTATATGCTTTACAAGTATTGGCGCATTTAATCCCCTCAATAATCTAGAGAGGTAGATATTATTATTATCATCACCATGAGAGAGGTAACTGGCCCAGCTGAGGGTTGCCTTAATGCACAACCCCAGGGATGCTAATCACCTATAGCCTCTGTGAACAGTGCTTCCTGCAAATGTGCAGTGCACAGCCTGTGCAGCTGTACATGGCAGTCCTAAACAGCTAACAAGTAATGGCTGGAGCAGAGGAAAGATCAGGGTCATACACAGTGGAAGATGCGTGAAGGAATCTGCATGTTATCCTAAAGGCAATGGAAAGACAATAAGCAAGATTGGTGACATGTGAAAAATAGGATTTTAAGAAAATTAATGTAGCAACAGAGAAACTGGAATGAGGGAGGGGGGCCTGTAGGCCAGACTGTCCCTTATGGTGTAGAGTCTAAGCCTGGGGCAATGAGGACCTGGTCCAGGGAGACAGATAGACAGAGGTGATGTGAGTCATCATAAGGATGGTTCTCCGGGAGCTGGGTAATCACTGGATTAGAGTAGGCAGTGGAGATTTGGATACGGCGATACAGCGTTCATATGTGGTCGTTCTTAATGGCTGCATAATATCACATTATAGTTCTAGCATAAAGTAGTAAATATTTCCCAGTTATTCCTCCCAATTCTTAGCTAGCCTTTATTTCATTCTTGAATTAGGAGGCCAAGTTGCTTACTAAGAGTAGGGGGTCGGCGCAGGGGCAGGTATCAGGACTAAGGGAAGTAATAAAGGTTTGGGATACTCACTTCAGGGAATGCGTAGATAAAGGGATTGCAGAGCAGCATGAGGTTGGAGACCATCAATGTGTAGAACAAAGGAACAAAGAAAGCAGATGGTGGAACTGGTCCAGAGGTGGAGATTTGCGGGGTGCTATTGCGCTGTAGGGCGCAGAAGTACAGTGGGATGCCGCAGCTGAAGATATTGGAAAGCAGAAAAGGGAATTTATAGATCAGAAAGTCTAAACAACAGAAGAAGAAAGAAAACCATGAGGTGTAAAAGGAGAAATCAAAGAACTGGAGATCTTGATGCTGTCCAAGGGTAGGTGTAGCTGGGGCAGAGCAGGAAAAAGCCAGGAGGCTCCTACGTTGTGGCCCAAGAGAGGGATATCTGGTAATTTAGAAGATGAAGGTGCAGGATATGGCTGTAGGAATAATAATAGCTAACAATGATAAAATAGCTAACATTTATATAGCACTTACTATGGACAGATACTGTTCTAAGCTTTGATATATATTAAGTCATTTAATTCTCATAACAGCTCTGTGAAGTATTATTATTCTCCAGACTCTACGGATAAGGAAATAAGGCACAGAGAGTTTAAGTAACTTGCACAAGATCATACAGCTCTAGCTAAATTAGAATAGAGGCGAAGATCCAGGACTTGCTAGGCTATAGTGTTGGAAAGTTTACTCATTTGGTTTGTGAAACAAAGAGGGTAACAGTAAAAGAAGAGAAGTGAGCTTGGTGTCAAAGTTATCAGTCAATGTGAGGACTGACCTGGAGGAAGTCTCTTCAGAAATAGCCTCATAAATGCAGTTAAGAGTCACAACATTCAAACTGTTCTCACATTTAGAAATACATTTTCCAAGACTAAATAATCTAGGAAAATCATGTTCATCTCAACCATAAAATTACAGATGGAAGCACTTGGATAAGTATCTTATAAATGAATTTGGCCAAGATACCTACTTTTTCTGGGCTATCCACAGAGCTGCTATTTTGTTCATTGATCAACATACAACTTGCTCCTGAGAACCAAAACCACGTTCTAAAATGGACATCTGGAATCAGAGAGATACTAACCATGGTGGTGTTCTGAGCTGGGGTGAGATGCTCATTTTCAATTGAAGAAACTCAAAACCTACCAAATTCTATTATTACAGATTTTTAGAAACAAGATAGATAACAAAATTCTCTTCATTAAGCCTAAGAAATCGAAGGAATAATCTCTGAAAGCTTCCTTTTTTTTTTCTTCACAGTTCCCAACACACATACGCTATATCTCCATAATCAGAAGAAATCTTACCGGATGGGTCTAGTGGGTCCTTCTGGTCCATCCATCTCATAAGAGAAAACATTATCCCATTTAAATTGTAGATGCCAGTTGAAAGCTCCCCTTACTACAGGAGAGGGCTGGTACTCCAGGGTCATGTAATCAATGACATCTATCAGAGGACACACTGCCATTTTGGGGTCCTTGGCGATGGCGTACAGCAAGGGCTCCAGCCATACTTTATTCACCTCGCAGTGGCTATCCAGGAACACCAGAACATCCCCTGAGGCAGGAACAGACTAGCGTTAGAGCACACGGATGAAACGTCCAACAACACACAGCGAAGTTCAACACAAGTATTTGTCGAGCATTGAGTACGTGTTTGGCTCTTAAGGTGGTTTCGGTTTCATTGGGGAGACAAGAAACACATACTTTGTTTTGTACCAAAAATGTAGGCGCTCATGTGCCATAGATGTTCAGAAGAAGCTGTGAACTGTGGGTTAGAGAGCGGCTTGGGGAAGATTCTGAAGAAGGAGGGGAACTGAGCTGGCCTTCAACTAAAAAATATCATTTTAGGGGTCGGCCCAGTGGCGTAAGGGTTAAGTTCACACGCTTCGCTTCAGTGGCCTGGGGTTTGCAGGTTCGGATCCCGGGCACGCACCTACACACTGCTCATCAAGCCGTGCTGTGGCGGCGTCCCATACAAAACGGAGGAAGGTTGGCACAGATGTTAGCTCAGGGACAATCTTCCTCACCAAAAAAAATATATATATATTTATATATTATTATAAATTATATATATAATTTTAGCTTGGCCTTGATCTAAGGCCAAATGTTTACTGTGAGGATACCTTCTTAGGTATTTAGTTTGGTGCTTGGGATGCAGAGATGCAAAATTATTTTTGCTCTTGAGTTCAAGATTTAATGAAGGTCTACTCTGCTTAGAGAACACAGGAAAATGCAAGGCCAAAATAAAGATCATGTGTTGTTAAAGTATATTAGATGGGCTCAAATTGGAAGGGACCTCAAAATTCAGGTACAGAATTTAGGCTTTTTTTTCTTGTAGCCAACATAAAATCATATGAAAGTATGAAAAACATCCCATATTTAGATCAGAAATTTAATATTGTTAAAATGGCAATAATCCCCAAATTGATCTACAGATTCGATGCAATCTTTATCAAAATCCCAGCTGGCTCTTTTTGCAGAAATTGATCCTAAAATTCATATGGAAATGCAAGGGACCTGAGTTAGCTAAAGCAATCTTGAAAAAGAAGAACGAAGTTGAAGGACTTCCTGATTTCAAAACTTACCACAAAGCTATAATAATCAAAACAATATGATATGGTCATAAGGATAGACATATAGACAAAAGGAATAGAATTAAGAGTGCAGAAATAAATCAAACATCTATAGTCAATTAATTTTTGACAAAGGTGCCAAGACAATTCAATGGGAAAAGAAGAGTCTTTTCAATAAATGGTCCTAAAGGGCTGGCCCAGTGGCATAGTGGTTAAGTGCACACGCTCCGCGTTGGTGGCCCAGGGTTCGCAGGTTTGGATCCCGGGCGTGGACCGATGTACTGCTTGTCAAGCTATGCTGTGGTGGCATCCCACATAAAGTAGAGGAAGATGGGCACGGATGTTAGCCCAGGGCCAATCCTCCTCAGCAAAAAGAGGAGAATTGGCATCGGATGTTAGCTCAGGGCTAATCTTCCTCAAAAAAATACAAATAAATAAATAAATGGTCCTGAGACAGCTGAATATCCACATGAAAAAGAATGAAGTTGGAACCCCTACCTCATGCCAAACACAAAAATTGAGTCAAAATGGATCTTAGACCTAAAAAGGTAAGAGCTAAAACTATGCAATTCTTGGAAGAAAACATAGGCATACACTTCATGACCCTGGCTTAGATGGTTTCTTAGATATGACACCAACAATACAAACGACAAAAGAAAAAATAGATAAATTGGGCTTCATCAAAAAGAAAAACTTTTGTGCTTAAACAGACACCATCAAGAAAGTGAAAAAAACACCACAAAATGGGTGAAAATTATTTGCAAATCACGTATCTGATAAAGGACTTGTATCCAGAATATATAAAGAACTCTTACGTCTCAATAATAAAAAGACAAATAATTTAAAAATAGGCAAAGGATTTGAATAGATATTTCTTTAAAGAACTTATACAAATGGCTGATAAGCATGTGCTCAACACGGTTACTCATTAGGGAAATGCTAATCAAAATTACAATGAGATATCACTTCACATCCACTAGGATGGCTATAATCAAAAAGGCAGACAATAGCAAGTGTTGAAGAGATTATGGAGAAATTGGAACCCTTGTCCATTGCTGATGGGAATGTAAAACGTTGCAGCCACTTTCAAAAGTTATTTGGCAGTTCCCCAAAAGTTAAATATAGAGTTACCACATAGCCCAACAATTCCGCTCCTAGGTAGTATACATACACCCAAGAGAAATAAAACTCAGTATCACACAAAATCTGGTACATGAATGTTCATAGCAACATTATTCCTAATAGTAAAAAAGTGATAATAACTCAAATCTATCAAGGGATGAATAAACAAAACTTGGTCTATGCACACAATAGAATGTTATTTGGCAGTAAAAAAGGAATGAAGTACTGATACGTGCTACGACATGGATGAACCTTGAAAACATTATGTTAGGTGAAAGGAACCAGTCACAAGAGACCCCATATTGTATAATTCCATTAAATGAAATGTCAAGAATAGGTAAATCTATGTATATAGAAATTAAATTAGTGATGGAGGGGAGGGGGAATGGGATGAGGGGGAATGGCGAGTGACTGCCAATGGGTATGGGGTTTCTTTGTAGTGGGACAAAAATGTTCTAAAATTAGGTGGTGGCGATGGTTGCACAACCCTGGGAATATACAAAAAAACATTGCATTGTATGCTTTAAATGGGTGAATTGTATGATATGTGAATTATATCTCAACAAAACTGTTAAAATCCTTAGGAAAGAAAGAGTCATGTTGGGCCGGCCCCGTGGCTTAGCGGTTAAGTTTGCGCGCTCCGCTGCTGGCGGCGCGGGTTCGGATCCCAGGCGCCCACCGACGCACCGCTTCTCCGGCCTCATGGCCGCGTCCCACGTAAAGCAACTAGAAGGATGTGCATCTATGACATACAATGATCTACTGGGGCTTTCGGGGGAAAAAGAAAAAAAGAAAGCGTCACGTTGGAAAGAAAGAATACACCCTCCAAATCTTACTATAAAATACACTTATTCTCGTATATAATTCATAACAGAATTTGAAATCATGAAAAACTATATAACCTTTATCCCTCAGCTCATATCACTGGTTTCTTATCTATCCATCCAAAACAGTGTCTACACGGATAAGCGAATGTGCACGTGTATTTGTTCTACCGGTTCCTTGAATGACAGGAAAAACAACTTTATTTTGTTCCTTTAAAAAAAAAGGGAGGAATGGTCTTTTCCCTGCCCTTGGTTACAAACCAGAGCAGGCCCCAAGACTACTAACACAGAAACAAGTGTCCTCAGTTCTGCAGCTAGCTACAGCTCTTCTTTTGTCCTTTTGATTCCCATGCAGAAGCCAACATCAGTTCACTTCTCCTCACCCCCAAGGTGTTTCTAATTTTGTTGTATTGGTGTCTGAGAATATGCCTAATCCCCAATATAGGAAACTCATATCAAGTCCCTCTCACCAGGCTTCAGTGAGCAGCTTTCTCCAAAAATCCTCTCTAAGTCTAATAATCTGACTCAACGAGGCTGAGTTATCTCATTGATTCTCAGATATGTATTTTGAAATTTCTTTGTGGTGGTGTGTCTGACAACTTACTCAGGAATATACATCTGTTGTCTTCATGCCTCAATCAAAACTGAGCTAACAAGAGTCCCATTTTGAACTTACATAATTTTTCATACTCTTGGCAGCACACACACTGTTCAACACTTTGCATATTTCACTTAAAATAGCTGCTATAATGTTATATAACATTAACATTTAAAAATTATGTCTGCTAATTTGATAGGTGAAAAATAACATCTGGTTCTCCAAAGAAGATATACAAATGGCCAAACAAGCACATAAAAAGATGCTCAACATCATTAGTCATTAAGGAAATGCAAATTAAAACTACAGGGAGGTACTGCTTCATATCTACTAGGATGGCTAGAATTAAAAAAAAAAACCCAAATTTAAAAGACGGAAAATAACGAGTGTGGGTGAGGATGTGGAAAAATTGTAACTCTTGTACATTGCTGGTGGGAATGTAAACGGTGAAGCTGCTACGAAAAACCATTTGGCATCTCCTCAAAAAGTTAAACAGAATTACCATATGACCCAGCAATTCCACTCATAGGTACATATTCAAAAGAGCTCAAACAAACACATGTATGCACATGCTCTTAGCAGTACTCTTTACAATAGCCAATAGGTGGAAACAGCCCAAACATCCATCAGCAGATGAATGGAGAAACAAATTGCCAATATCCATACAATGGAATATTATTCAGCCCTAAAAAGGAATGAAGTGCTGATACATGCTAAAGGCAGATGAATCTCAAAAACATCATGAAAAATGAAAGAGGCAGAAGCAAAAGGTATGATTCCATTAACATGAAATATCCAGAATAAGTAAATCTAGAGACAGAATGTAGATTAGTGGTTGCCAGGGGCTGGAGAAGGGGAAATGGGGAGAAACTGCTTAATGGGCATGGGGTTTTCTTTTGGGGTGATGAAAATGTTCTGGAACCAGATAGAGGTGGTGATTGCACAGCATTGTGACTATACTAAATGCCTCTGAATTGTTTACTATAATCTCATGTTATGTACCTCTCACCTCAATAAAAAAATAACTAATCTGGTTACATTTTTTTTTTAACTACTGGTGAGGTTGAACTTTTTTCAGGTGATTAGCCATTTGTAAATGAAATGTTCATACCCTTTGCCCATTTAGGTATTGGAGTCATGGGGGTTTTTTAAAGGCTTTGTATATATATTATACATACTAAGAATATTAATTTTTTTTCTATCTTAGTTGTACTATTTTCCCTAGTCTGTTGTTATTTAATTTTATCATTTTTTATTTACAGTAGTTTTTCATTCTTTGTAGTCAGCTCTGTCTTTCCTGTTGGGTTTTTTTCTTTATTGAGGTATAATTGACATAAAACATATTAGTTTCAGGTGTACAACATAATGATTCAATATTTGTATATATTGCAAAATGATCACAAAAATAAGTCTAGTTAACGTCCATCACCACACATAG